GTGAGAATCACCCATTGTTAGAAGAGCCATTGTTTAAAATGCTTGAGATTATGAAAGACTTACAAAGTGTAAGAGAGTATGAAAGACTTAGAAAGTGTAAGAGAGTATGAAAGATTTTGTAGCAGAGAGTGAGACTTGTGTGGGTGTGAGAGATGTATGATATGGTATGTATTTATAGGAAAAAAAATTTCATATAGTGGTTGCTGGTGCTTACATGCATGCGAAGTGTCACTCTTGCAGGCTAGATGGCAGCCTAGGGGGTTACATATATGCATGCATGTAAAAAAATGAAAGGTGTCACTCTTGCAGGCTAGGTGGCAGCCTAAGGATGTATCACGATTGGACAGTAAGGGAGGCGCCATTGGACTTGGCGAAAGAGTACAAAAATGAATGGTGTCGCCACCCTAATTGGCGAATAAGAGGTATCCTTGGTTGCAGGCTAGGCTCAGGCTACGTGACAGCCTTTGGGATGCCTTGCCTGAATTCATGTAACCCCATTGGAGGTGATGGGAGGAGACTTACAACATACAGCATAGGTGCAGAGTAGGCGCAGGCTAGGTGGCAGCCTAGGGAGTTACATATTTGCATGCATGTATCACGATTGGACAGTAAGGGAGGCGCCATTGGACTTGGAGAAGGAGTACAAAAATGAATGGTGTCGCCACCCCAATTGGCGAATAAGAGGTGTCCTTTGTTGCAGGCTAGGCTCAGGCTACGTGACAGCCTTTGGGATGCCTTGCATGTAACACTATTGGCAGCCTTGGGGGTTGCATCCTTACTTAATTGAAATTTTTAGTCTTACGTTTATCATAACATTGATTCACTTAATCTGTCAAATCTTCCAACCTTCAAACGTTCATACAATCAAACCTTCAAACCTTCAAACAATCAAACATATAAACTTTCGAATAACTCATAAAGTTTAAACATTCCAACCTTCAAACCTTACAGCATTCAAACCTTCATACAATCAATAAACTTTAAACATTCCAACCTTCGAATCACTCATAAAATTCAAACATTCCAACCTTCAAACCTTCAAACAATTCTACGCAATGGCCTATGCACCATAATTTGTCGTCAAAGCACATTTCAACGGTGATACATACATTTGTCCCACCGCTGGGTTTTTGTTTAGAGACACAGACAACATCTGATTTCTCTTAAACGGGAAAGCCAATTTCTCGTACTTCAAAAAACAATTGGAGGCCAAACTTGAATGAGGCCCGTGTCCTAGATATTTTATCAGAATCCAGTTTTTTTGGAAACAACCAAGTAATTTTTTATAAGGTTGAAGTTCAAGATGACGAGGATCTCCAGAATATGTTTTCCAGCCATGCCTATTCTGGGTACGACTCTATTGAGTTGTACGTTATGCTGCGAGAGCCTCAGGTGACACAAGAGGTTGATCCTTTGGAGAATGAACAAGCTGAGGTAGATGAAGTTGATGATGAAGAAGAAGATGACGAGTTATAGTTTGATGAAATGGTGAATGATGATTCCGACGATGATGGCATCCCTAGTATTCCTGCGAACGAAATCTACACACCACCTCCGCACATGACAAACTTCAACATGGGCGGAGATGAACCTTCTACTGACTTATTTTTTAATCCGTATATGCAGTCGGATGAAAATTTAAAAGAGAAGGACAAGTTTCGTAACAGAGAGGAATGCATCAGAGCCATAAAAAAATTCCACATGCTCAACTCGGTTGATTTTAAGGTGGACCGTGTCAACCCGGAAAGGTACAAGATCAAGTGTGTCCATCCTGACTGTATGTTCAAGCTGACCGCATCATACAGATTAAAAGGTGACTGCTGGGTCATAGGTTCCATGACTACCCACACTTGTGTAAGTTCCACTCAATCACAGGGGACCTCCGAAAACTCAACTACGATCTCATCTGTCAAGAAATCCTACCCCTGGTCAGCAATGACCCATCTTTGAAGGTGAAAACAATCATCTCCCACATCACCATGGTTTTTAACTACACTCCGTCTTACCGTAAGGCGTGGTTAGCAAAGACTAAGGCGATTGAAAGGGTGTACAAAAACTGGGAGGAGTCATACGAAGAACTTCCCCGCTACCTGAATGCACTCAAGACGTATTCTCCAGGTAGTGTTTACGTTCTGGAAACAGTGCCAGCATACGCCCAAGATGGTAGTCTACTAAATGGCAACGGAATATTCAGTCGAGTGTTTTGGGCATTTCAACCATGCATCACAGGGTTTGCATCATGCAAACCAATTATACAAATTGATGGGACTTGGTTGTATGGGAAGTACAAAGGCACGCTACTGATGGCAGTTGCATAAGATGGCAACAACAACATTTTCCACATTGCCTTTGCCCTTGTCGAGAGGGAGACCGATGGTGCTTGGAGCTTTTTTCTGAAAAATATGCGGACACACGTGGTTCCTCAACCAGATCTTTGTTTGATCTCGGACAGACATGCCTCCATTGAAAGTGCCTACAATAATCCTGCAAACGGTTGGAATGACCCTCCTTCTACGCATGTCTATTGCGTTAGGCATATCGTCCAGAACTTCACAAGGGAGATCAAGGATAAAACATTGAGGAAAGCGATTATGAATGCGGTATATGCATTGACACAACCCACATTCAAATATTACCGCAACGAGATCCTTTTGTCAAATCCGGAAGCCGGTAGGTGGATCGACAATATTCCGGTGGGAAAATGGACTAGGTCATACGACAATGGCCAAAGATTGGGGCATATGACAACGAATCTTATTGAATCAATGAATGGGGTATTCAAAGGCATACGAAACCTCCAAATCACTGCCTTGGTAAAATCTACGTATTTTAGGATGGCTGTGTTATTTGCCAAAAGAGGTGAAATGTGGAACGCGGTGTTACAATCTGGACAACTATGGAGTGAAAGCTGCATGAAATACATTAAGGCTGAAAGTGCTAAAGCCAACACTCATATGGTTATACGGTTTGACCGGCACAGCCACAACTTCATTGTGAAAGAGACAATCGACCACAACGAAGGCCTGCCAAGACAAGAATATAGGGTCATGCTACCTTCTCGTTGGTGCAATTGTGCCAGGTTTCAAGCATTTCGTATGCCTTGCTCTCATGTCATTGCCGCTTGTGCTCATACCCATCAAGACGCGCTGCAACTTCTGTCAAACATTTACAAATCTGAAACGTTGCTCAACGTTTACAACAACAACTTTCCTTTGGTAGCAAAACCAGATTATTGGCCTGCATACGACGGCGAAATAGTGTGGCACAATGACCAAATGCGAAAGAACAAGAAGGGTCGTCCCAAAAGTAAGCGCATCACAACAGAAATGGATGATCTTGACAAGTTGGAAAGAAAGTGTGGTTTATGCCGTCAGGTCGGACACAATCGCAAAAATTATCCGAATCGGGCGTCTGCCTCGACCACATAAAAATTGTAATACATAAAATCTTTCCTTAATTGTGTTGTAAACATTAGGGTTTTCCGTTAACAGATTTTGCTACAATTAATAAAACGCGTACAAGAAAAATTAACGATATCCCGTCTACGAAATTACAACTGTTAACACAATTTCATCTGACCCATGCATCATCAACATTACATCGCTGTCTGTTTTGACTTCCTCCAACCATACATTAGGTCTTCCTGTCGCATGTGAGGTTGTTGTTCGTTTTCGCTGGATCCTTCGAATTTTTCCCCCTCCGCAATGTCTCCATCTAGCCATCGCATCAACTCCCGCTTCAGACGCTCCACGGAGTGAATGTGCCAGAATTTCATTTTCATCGCAGGTTTCGTGGCAGAGAAGATAAGGTAACCATCTCTGCTAAAAATCATAGGTGACGTCATGACGCAAATAACAGAGTAAAAAATAAAAATACAGTGCGAGAAAGTGTGCGAAATTTCGGAGAAACGGACGAATTATTTATAAAACAGTATTTTGCCCTAGTTTTTCCCTAAGAGCCAAGTGAGATGGCGCCTCCTCTCACTTTTAAGGAGCATGCGCCATCTCACTTGACTAAAAGTGAAAGGAGGCGCCAAGTGAGATGGCGCCTAGGACAAAAGTAGGGGTGGAGGCGCCAATTCAGATGGCTCCTCCTTTGTGGAGTCATCTGAAACATGGTTATTTGCGTAATTTTTTTCGAAACGCGGTTATTTGCGATATTTTTTTTAATACATGGTTATTGTTAAAAAAAAATCCCTAATGACAGGTAAAACTAGTGACCTCCATAAGGGAAAATTCTTTATGTCCAGCTTGACAAAAACTAATGTTGGTAGTTCATTTTCCTTTGAGTTAGCAGCGGTTGTCATTGTGGTTATGGTGGATAGAGAGCTTTCAAGCTTAAAGCTCTGATGCCAAGTTAGAAAGACACATAGAATGGTCAAAAGCATGATTCTTCTCATTACAAGTCACAATACATATACAAGAGAAAAAGATGATCAATCATGATCCAAGAATCAAGCAAAATTGATATACAAGATACCAATAAGGACACTACGTAGGACAGTACTTATTATATTCTTTATCTACATTTGATGAATCTGATCTGCATATCCTTATTACTTTTCCAATAGTTCATCCTCACTACGTAGGACAGTACTTATTATATAATGACGTGTTAAGTAGCTACGTATATATCCTCAATTTTCAAATTTTATTTTTGGCATTACCTTGCACCACTAGTGTACAATACTAATAGTACTAAAATACAATCCTCGTATTATTAAATAGTGACACGTAAAAAGTACAAATACTTTAAGGTACACAGAAGTTAAAAATGATTTAATCCACTTTCTTGGAACTTTTATGGAAAATGTGGTATAATTTCATCACACAAACTACTAGTTGTGCCCTTCATCACATATGTGTCTTGAAAATTATAAATATAGCCACTTTTACCTCAACTTATTCTCATCAATTCTTATCACTCTTCTTTTCATAAAAAAGAAAAAAACTTATAACTCTTACTTGAGAGAGAGAGAGTATCATTTTGAGATCTAGGAGATGGTATCTGAAAAACAATCTGGTAAGGATCACAAAGGCAGTAGTAAGATTCCTAGTCATGTGCCGAAATGGAATCTTGGTGTTACAAAACAAGCATCAATAAGGTATATTATATATTTACTTTTTTCGTGTTTGTTTGGTTTGTAACCACTTTAAATTTAATATTCTGCGTTATAATTTTACTACATGATTATTGTTTTTTTAAAGTTTTTGTTTTCATTTTATTTTTGTGAAATTTGATGCAGAGAAAAGGATAATGAAGATGGCAAATCTGGAACCAGATCCTTAGAGTTGCGCTTTATTAATGATGATAAGTTGCCAATTTCGACGTTTACTAAAACCAATATAACTCCAAAGAACGAACCACTTCAAGTTGAATTATTTGATGTTAGATCTAAGTCAATAGTCAACGATGGTCCTTTCTCTTCAATAAAGATACAGATTTGTCCCATCCAGGGAAAGTTTGAATCTTGTGATGATGAAGATTGGATTCAAACTGAGTTCAATGATAATATCTTGCATCAAAGAGAGAATAAAGAGCCGTTGTTGGTTGGAGATAGGATTGTTGCTCTTAAAAATGGAGTTGCTTCTATTTCTAAAATCATCTTCACTGATAATTCTGCATGGGTAAGAAGCAAAAAGTTCAGGTTGGGAGCAAGAGCTATGAAAAATGGAGAGATTATTAAGGAAGGTATAAGTCAAGCTTTTAGGGTCAAACATATCAGAGGAGAAGGTGAGTTTATTAATTGTTCACTTATGTTTTGTTTTTTGATGTTGTTGTCATGTTTTGTTTTGTTGTTAACATGTGTTATGGTTTGGTCATTGAAGCTTACAAGAAACACTATCCTCCATACTTGAAGTTGATGGATGATGTGTGGCGTTTGGAGAAAATAGCTAAAGATGGACCGTACCACAAGCGACTCCATAACAACGGAATTCATACTGTTAAGGATCTGTTGAGGTTACTCATAACCAATGAATCTTCGTTACATGAGGTAAATCATTGTTTACCTTACTTTTTAAAGTGAATCAACTTTATCATATGAGAGAAAAATAAACGCTAATTGAATGTTTTTTCTGTTGAGATGTAGAAATTTGAAAAAATTCAGAAGAAGTGCTGGTCTGATATAATCGAACATGCCCGGTCGTGTGTTGTAGATGATTACACGCTTTACAGCTATGCGATTGGAGAACCAATACTGCTTCTATTCAATGTGATCTATGAACTTGTTGGTGTGACATTTGATGCACAAAAGTTTTATTTACCAGATGATCTCAGACTCACACCCATCCAGAAGGTATACATAGAGTTAGATAATATGTGATAACTCTTTTGTTATAGTTGAAGGAAAATAGTGAATATGTTTGTGCTTATTTTACAGAATTTGGTTGAAATGGTGAAGAAAGATGCATACAAAAACATTGAAAATTTAAAAGCAATTGATGAGGGTACATTGAACTCCATAAGCTTAGAAGCATGTATAAAATCATCAAAAGAACAAGATCTGCAACATTTTGATATCTCTGCAGAAAATGGTAATAATGGAATGGAAAACGTTGAAATGAATGTTGATCCGGTGGCAGACATAAGAGAAATAGGAGAAAACAATTATGGTCATTCAATAGAGAATCTCATAAATGTTAGTTATTTTGATGGAGCTGAGTGGAGCACTTTAGTTGATTTACTGAATTCTGATATGGAGATATCAAACAGTGAGAAACCAAAAGCAGTGTGGTGTAAGATTCGTGCTGTTGTGAAATGGGGAATAACAGTGAGAAGAGTTGCAGCTGCCAAGAGGAATGAACATTTGTGTTGTTATAAGGTTTATGATATCAGTGCTATTTGCTAAAGTTTACGTTGTTGAATTTCGATTAGAGTGAAGAGACATGCGAGATCATAAGAGTCCTCCTGTCCAATATTATAGTGTAAGTTAACATAATGTGTAAGATAAGAGTCTGCAAAATCGTTTTATACGTAATTCAAATTTACTATGTTGGTTATAGTTTGTAGTTCTTTTAAAAGTGTTGTGTAATATTGAACGAAGAGATATCAATGTGATTATATTTTTTAATTGTTTAACAAGAAATGTCCCAATTTTAGCATGTTTAGCATCACTGACTTAGGAAATAATGCCATAGTGGATAGTTTCATTGATATACCTCAGCAATCTCTTGGGAGCTAGCAAGTGAGATTTCTAAGCATTACTCATAAATTTGCTTACAAATCTAACAGAAAAGAAAATTCCAGGTCTACTTTGACATAGATAATTCAATGATTCGATCAGTTGTCTTAACACTAAGTCTAGGACTCTTGTAGTCGGTCTTGCAAGTAACCTTTAAGTAAGATGTTAGAGATTGTTAGCGAGAAACGCTTGCGAACAAATTGACACACCCGGTGGAACACGTTTGTGTTAAATTCGTCTCAATCTGTGCATGAGATTGAGGAGTGGTAAAAAATGGTTGATCCTAGAAATCTAGATGGGGAGTGTTCTGGACTGGGCCCGGGTTGATCCAAGAGCAAGAATGAAGGTCCAATCCAAACGGCTCTACAGGGGGCGCGCCGACCAAGAAGCTACAGCCGTGCCCGCCACTGCCCGCGAACGCAACATCCTCGACCAGATACAATCCAGCTCGAGTTCAGCTCGAGCACCCTCCTCGTAGGGCATATTGTAACCGTTACACCATCACCTAAACTCCGAAAAGACCGCGTCCTCGTCTGTCCGTACTTCTCGCAGAGCACCCAGGAAGGAGACCACATGCGGGTCCCCACTACACACGTAGAACCTGACAGTTCCTTTATTGGGTCAATCCTGGTCGGTCCAATAAAGGGACCTTGGCCCAGCGCTGGGGGCTATAAATACCCTCTGTTCCAAGAGGATCAAGTATTCATTCTCTTACCATTCACACACCTTTTTGCCTGCTCGTACAGCCACTTACTTTAGCATCATAGTGCCTTGCAGGTACCCCCCCCCCATCTTGTTCAACTTCAGCTCGGAGCCAGTCGTGACGGTCCAAGTCTGATCAGGTAAGATCAGGGAGCAACCCCAAGGAGGAAATATCAGTGATGCATCAAGTGTTGGTTCAAGCTTTGTGGTTGTGTCTTTGACGATCCCAAGCACACCAATCACCATGAGTCAGCCAGTGCGTCAAGACCAAACATGGTCAATACTTCATGGAAATATGTGCCTAGTTTCGCAATTCCAACGCATGGCAGGGAACGATTGTATGTAATGCCAACAACGATTATGGCAGGCTTGCATAAAAACCTTTCGACGTTTGATGAAAACTCAGGGTCAACATTTTCCCCTTATCACGCATTAGGATCTGTGGGAAGTCAGTTTGGTCGTTCGACTGATTAAGTTTTTCACACCAAGTAATACACATTTTGATCTTGATTTCCATTACAGTTATGAGGCAACAAATGCATGAAAGTAATCACGAGATGGTCAACATGCCTACTCAACAAATGAGTGTCATATTGAGACCATTAATTGAGAGTTCGATGCAGAGTTACCAAATATTGGCAACTCAAACGATGCATATTGGTGACTTTCTTGGTGCCCCTAGAGCGCTAGTTCAAAATGTTGCACCACCTCCACCAGAAGAACAAGTGCAATATGAAGAAATGGTCGACGAGACAATCGACCAAGAGTAAGAAATTTCTCAGCATGTCGACCCTATACCTATGGTTTTTGAATAACCCCCGATGGTAATAGTAAATCGAAACCAAAATGTTGACCAAGTGGTCAGACAGGTTCGACGAGACGCAGTAGCTGGAGAACATAACCTAGAAGCTATTGTCGAACAGATCATGGTTCGAAACAGGATGAATAGTAAGGCGTATGTACTCTTCCCCATTACTAGATTTTGTTTTGCAAACAGAACTACCTAGGGGTTAGAAGTTCCTAAATTCACCAAGTTTGTAGGGGATATAAAAGAGTCCATTGTTGAGCATGTTGCCAGATATCAAACCAAAGCTGGAGATATAGCCAACAATGAGGATCTGAAACTGAAATATTTTCCAAGTTCCCTGTCGAAAAATGTGTTAACCTGGTTTACACCGCTACCTCCCCATTCGATCCGTATGTGGACCCAATTAGAGAAATTATTGCATGGACAATTTTACATGCGCCAATAAAAAATAAATCTAACAGATCTTGCTGGAGTCAAATGAAAAGCTATTGAGTCAATTGACTAGTACTTATATAGGTTTATACTTTTGAAAGCAAGATTCTTTATTCAAGTCTCCGAACACGAACTAGTCGAAATTGAGATTTCTTTGGTATAGGATGTCACTATAGATGTTACAACATCTGTTGACAGACTGAACAAATTTATCAAGTTATAACAGATATTGAAACTTAAACTACAAAATGATAAATAACACAAAGAGTTGTTAACCCAGTTTTCTAAAACATCACCTACATTTAGGGGCTACCAAGTCAGGAAGCAAGTCCACTATCAGCATTTAGTAGTTCAAAGCTAAACAATCCTGGTTTACAATTTCTCGCCTAATCCCTACCCAATGAAACTTCTACCTAGGTACCTCCTAGATATGAGAAATCACCACATCCCTTCCTAAATCACCTCAATGATATCTAACAGTCTCAATCTCAGTGACTGTATTAAGAATAACTCAACCAGAAGATCATACTTGCATTGCAATACTTAGCCAAGACTCTTGACTAAGAACAAAACTTGGATTTGTTTAAAAGTTTCATCCAAGAACAATACTAAACTCATTGTCTAAAGGCTTCTAAGTGATAACATAATATCAACCACAAGTATCAAAATATACAAGAATGACTTACACCACACAATACACAAGAGACTCATAAAACCTAAGACTATTTTTCCTTCCCTTAACTTTACATTTGTTGAAAGAACTAATTACATTAGGTTAGATCTTATCTTTAAATACACCCATGCAATCCATGGACTTTGCATTCTGCATCCAGATATTTCTTGATCCACAAGCTGAGTGATGCACCAATTGTGTAGCAAATCTCCTTCAATCCTAGAACAAACAATACAAAGTTTCTTAAAATGTCACAAGGCCCGACTTAGTAACTAATGTACAGCTGAAGATACAAATTTGTTCCAACACAAATCTTCTTGACCTACGAAAATATCTGAAATATATCCAAAATAAATATCACAGAATCTAATTAAATATATCAAGATTCAAAACAGCAGTGCCTGCTGTACAAGATCAAGATGTTATGACATTTGGCTGAAAAACTCATAACAACAAATTTTTTATAACAATTGATAAAAATGTTGCACCATCTAGAATAACATGAGTATAGTACCATGTTTTAGAAAAATTATGCCAATCCTAAAACCATGGAACTAACAATCTCCCCATTTGGAAATTTTTTGCTAAAACAACCAAAAGTCCAATTAGCATGGAGAGGAATAACACCACAAAGAAATAGAACCACATAGGAATAAAACCACAAATCTAACTGCACATAATATGTATCCAAGATAAAACCACAAATCTAACTGCACAGAATATGTATCCAGAATATGTAAATGAGGGAGAAGATGGATATTACTCCCCCTCAAACACAGAACAAATTCTTGTCACAGAGAGAAAAATCTCCCTCTCAAGAACAAAACACATTAGAAGTACATGCAATAGAAGAAACGTACGTAACTCAGAGCACAAGACACAATAGTATTCATAACACAGAACACAAGACACAATAGACCAGACGGGATGTTGTAACATCCTATAAGCCATCCTGTAACAACTACAATAGAAGTTACAGAAACAATACCCTAAAATGTTTCATAAAGCAAACTGTAAGAACAAGATTTTAATTTGTGTTTAATCTCTATGTTTTGATGATAACAAGCATATATTTTATGCAGAACAATTTTAGTTCTAATGTTTTCATTGAGTGTGTAGATACATTGTTAGTATTATTGATACTCTTAATTAAGATGTCATCAGAATCACTTCATCACTCAGAAGAAGAACCATTGAGTTATGTTTCTAATGTAACATCAGTAGTTTTATGTAATGTTGAATGTTTGACAAGAAAAGAATCTCAATATGCATCCAAGAAGAAAAATATTCTGATAAGTTGTTGCTTCAAGATCAGAAATCAAGAAGATTCAAGAAACAAGCTTCCAACTTTGAAGATCAGAAATCAATACTAGTTCATTAGAAGAGTTGCTGCTTACAATTCTAAAGAAGAAGTCAAGATTCTGAACACAAATAGAGAAATCTTCTCTCTAAAATCAAAAGTCAAGATTTTCTCATCATAAGAGTTGCTACTCATGTATTTGAAGACAATGTCAAGATTCAGAAGACTCAAAGAAATCATGGAATATGCACCTTCATTCAACATCACTAGTATTCCATCATAAGAAATAATAAAAGAAGAAAAAAAAAAGATATTTTGGACTCATTTCTAATCAACATTTCAAATTCCATTAGAAGACAAGATCAAAGGATGATATCTTCTCAAGTTAATCTACTCAGTAGAAGTTATATTCAAGAGAAGACAAATATCATGAGAAGTACCACTGCACTCAATAGAAGAACTATTGTGACCTTTTGTAACATAAACATCAGCAATTCTAAGGAATGTTGAAGGTTCATCAAAAATGGAAGCAAGTATGTTCTCAGGAAAGCGTTACACTTAGTTAGAAAACATATACGCTTTCAAAAAGGAAAGAATTCATGATCCGAAAACAAAGATGCAGCTGACAATAAGTTGTTGCTTTCAGCTTAATCCAAAGATTAGAATTCAAGAGATCAGAAAGAAGGAACTCGACATTGAAATTAGATGTACTGATATAAGTTGTTGCTTCAGAAATTAGACATCATATATGC